TACTAGGTATTAGGCAATGTGTTTTAAGTGAATGAATTGTCTCTAATCCTCACAACTTTTCAGCAAGTTAGGCGTCACCCGCATTTTACAAATCAGGAGGTAAGCCCAGAATTTCAAGAAAGACTGAAGAATGGGCAACACTTAGATTCCCTGTGAACCACGGGCTGTCTCACCGGCCTGGCCAGCGCCTGGGCTTCCAGGTGGGGGACACTGAGGAACGGAGGCAGGGAGATGGCACCTACTCTCCCAGTCTCCAGTCTCCCACTGGGGCTCATGGACACAGCTTAGGGATAGCATGCTGGCACTGGCAGGGAACTGGGTCCTTGCTGCAGGGCAGTGGGCACAGTAGGCACCATTCCCGATGTACTTACTCAAGGGTCCAGTAGTTTGGGGCAATGAAGATGGGATATCTGGCCAGGTGAGGTAGGCTGTGTTTCTTCTGAGCTACCATCCTCTACCTGATTCCTCACACCTTTTTCTTGTTAGGCGCAGCTGAAAGACGGGGAGGGGGGAAGGGGAGAGAGAGACACGGCTAAGAGACAGAGAGTAAATTCCAGTTTCTCCTTTTTAGTCTCTTTTCTTCTGCCCTTTGCTCTGCTAGTTTATCTGTGTCTTTTCTCTTCTCGCAAACTCATGCGCAGTTCTAGGCAAACATTAACCCCGGGGGGCCTTTCCAAGCGGGAGACAAACTCTAGAGAGTGAGAAGCGAGATGCGAGGGCACCAAGGGCAAGAAGGGGTCCAGGCGTGCGCACGGTTGGCGGGACGCCGCCGCCTCCCTCTGCTGCGCGGCCTGCGCGGGGAGCCTGGTGGGGGCGGCAAGAGGACAGACCCCGTGCCCGGGCCTCCCATCAGCAACCACCTCCCCTGGCCTCCCTCCAGTGACCACCTCCCTTGCAGCTTGGGGAGGATGGAAGTCCCCTGACTGGACGAGGGACCTAGCGGCTGCTCTGAAACTCTGAACACTTGAGGAGCAGGCGCGGAAGGTCCAGCCGCCCAAGACTCGCATTTTCCCTCCTCCGCAGCCCAGGCAGGTTGCGGTCCTGGGCCTGGTTGAGCGCGGAGGGGATCCGGGCGGGAGCTGAGCTCGGTTCTCCAGGCCGGGCAAGTGGACGCGTGGCACGACCAACCCCGGGCCCAGGGCTGGGGCTGCTCCCCGAGGTGGGGAATTTAACTCTCATATTTTCGCACTACCCGGACGGGGCTGGACGCGGGAAGCGGGAAAGACCCGTCCCTGTTTGCAGTGCCCGAGGGGCAGGACACCCACGAGAAGGGCTCTACCTCAGTGCTGTTAGGCCGGCTCGGTGGCTCACACCTGTAATTCCAGCACTTTAGGAGGCCGAGTCGGGAGGATCGCTTGAACCCGGGAGGCAGAGGTTGCAGTGAGCCGAGATCGCCCCACTTCACTCCATCCTGGGTGACAGAGCTGTCTTGAAAACACACACACACACACACACACACACACACACACAAACAGTGGTGTTAGAGGGATGGGATTATTGGTGACATGACTTTCGTTTTGAACTTTCCTTAACCTTGCAGGGGCAGCCGTGCCCTGAAAACGCCTGTGATTGGGAGTAGAGGGTCCAGGTGCAGTGTGGTGAGTGACCCTAGGCAGGTCACTAGTTCTTTTTGAGCCTTCACTGAATCATCCCTTACATGGGGATGTTACCCCCGGTTCTCCGTGTCTTTCAGGGAGAAATTAGTTCCTGAGTTAAATGGTGCAGTATCAATCATCTTTTTATTACACAGAAACAATAAGTTTAAGAAAGAGGACGTCTACCTTACAGGGAGTTTAATTTTCAGCTCCTTTGAGATAAAATTCATTGAATGGTGTTTTACATGCGCGCCTTTTCCAACAGATTCCACGTCTATTCCCAGCGCCAGAGGCGGACAACCGCTTTACTGAGATACAGAGACAGGTACTTCCTGAGGCGCCTCAGTCCAGTTCCACTGGGTTTACTACGACTAATAATGACTGTTTCTGTTTACTAGGTATTAGGCAATGTGTTTTAAGTGAATGAATTGTCTCTAATCCTCACAACTTTTCAGCAAGTTAGGCGTCACCCGCATTTTACAAATCATGGCGCCCTGCTCACCATATCTGGAATCTTGCCTCGCCCCGAGGATTCTGATTTTCACTTTAGAGCGCTGAGCAAGATGGTTGCCCAGCGCTAACTCCGGGAAATCCCTGGGACTGAAAATCGCAGGTAACTCGCCAGAGTTTTTCAATTTTAGGCCTAGGAGATTATGCAAAGCTTTCCTTCAAGTAAACGCTGTTCTCTGGGGCCTCTGGAATCTACTGTCGGAGAAGGGGAATAAGCCCCGGGCCGGTGGGGGATGGGTGGGTGCAATTTCCTAAATAGAGGAAAGCCACTTTCATTCAAAGGGCTGTGGAACTCTGGCTAGAGGTGGGTTTCTTTGCAGTTAATCATCTGCAAGGCTCTTTGGATGCCTGATTCCAGAAACCCAGAACTCACACTTAGGGTCACAAAATCCAGGGCTTTTATTTGCCGAGCCCCGTGGATGTTGTCCCTATGGCTGCACCCCGCCCCTGTCCGTTCTCCTTTGGAGCAGAACGAAATCCATTCCAGAGCTTTTGCAGGAAGTCTTCAGGCCTTTGCGTCCGGCCCCTTTAGACATCAAAGCCCCCCCTGAGAGCAAAGGACTTTGAAAGATAGGAAAAACTCAGGCTCCTTATCGCGTCTCTGCTCCCTCCCGACCTAGTCGTAAATTCCGAGCCTCAGCGGCCGCCCTCTCTCTCCTCCGCTCTTCTTGACCCAAGGTCTCAAAAGACAAACGTGTCACTTCCCGCCCCGCCCCTGGATCCTGGTCCCGACCGAATGTGGTGGGGACCGAGAAGCGCAAGGTCCAGGACTTGTTAGAGGGGCGCGCCAAGGACGTCCCTGCGCCGCCAGGACATCACTGCCTGGGGACTCTACTTCACCCTCCCGCAGCCTTCTTTGGGGCGGGGCGGGGCAGGGGGGCCGGGCTCGGCCTACGCGCCCCTTCGAGTGCGCGGTGCGGAGCGGGCGCGGTGACGCGCTCCCGCCTGTGTCTGTGCTTCTCCGCAGGCCAGGAGGGCATCCTGCGCTGCCACCCGGACCTGGCGGGCAGCGAGCTGCGGCGGGGCACGCTCACGGCCGAGTCGCAGCGGGAACAGAGCGCCGCGGGCCTGACGAGCCTGGGCGCGGACGAGCGGCTCCGGCTGGCGGAGCTCAATGCGCAGTACCGCGCGCGCTTCGGTTTCCCCTTCGTGCTGGCCGCGCGCTTCAGCGACCGGGCGGCGGTGTCGCGTGAGCTGGCGCGCCGTCTGCTCTGCCCGTCCGCGCAGGAGCTGCGCACCGCTCTGGGCGAGGTGAAGAAGATCGGCAGCCTGCGCCTGGCCGACCTCCTCCGCGCCGACCCGGCCAAGCTGTAGCTGCCGCGCGGGCCAGGGACCAGGGAGGCACAACCGGACGCGTGGGGGCCACGGCCCGGAGCTGTGCGTCCTGGGCGGGAGGCGGACTCGGGCCTGGAACAGCGTTCATACACGTGCACAAAGGAAGTGGAGAATTGAGGCAATCATACGAGTAATGAGTCCTTTTGTCCACCCACCCACACGCGCACGCGTTGCCGAAATATCCATATTGTTTAGTGCTTTGCCCCGGATTTATCCAGCTCACTGCTTCAATTCTTCACTCCCTTTGCGGCCCCCGACACCACCGGCCTTTGTGGATTCCAAAGCGTTTATCCAGTTCTCCCCAACCCTCTCCTGCTAAGCCCGAACTGCAAAGCAAAACGGACGGAAAAGGAATCTTTTATGCCACAGCGGTTTGTCTGTTTGTTTTCTCTTTTCCCACTTCATTTGCTGCACCCGACCTTTACATGTGAGCGGAAGCAGTGTTCTCGCTCTTGGGCACTAGGGGAGCAGACTGGGAGCCAGGAAAGTCAAATGCTGGCCTCGGTCCGGCATGGGGAGCCGGGGAAGCCGCGGGAGGGAGGCGGTGGGCCGGGGAGAGCCCTCCGTAGGGCTGGCGTTGGGAAGGCGCCCCGTGGGGACGAACGGAATAGCTGCAGCCATCGCTCCTAAAAGGCGGGGAGCCAGGGGGCGTCCATGCTGGACGGGCCTGAAGATCTCTCCCGGAGGTCGGCCTTTGGGAGTTGGCTCGACTGCCCCGGGAAACCCATCAATTATTAAAAGAATAACACTCATTGAGCAGCGCTGGGTATTTGGACCCCAGAATGAAGCGAGATTGCAGTGTCAACTAAACGGAGGGAAGTGCCCCTAGAAATCTTTGCTTGTCAGCCCTGGAGTTTCAGACCCCTATTAGGCTGGGCAGCCTCCTGCACCAGCAGCCAGACTGTCCACTGGGGGAAAGTACATTAGCATTCTGCGGAGGAGCCCACCACATTCTACCACCCGCCCACACTCCCACCATCCCCCACACACGGAAGGTGTAAAGAGCCCCAACAAATACTACTTAGGCTTCTATTGGCAGAGGAGAAACGAAACACCCATGGTCTCCCCAACAAAGACAAGGTAACAGGCGAAGGCCAGAGGTGGCCCTTTTGAAGACAAGAGCTTCCATTAGTCACCAACGGTGTCCAGGGTTAGCAGTAGCAGCAGCAGCAGCAACAACAACAGCAGCAAGAAAATCTTTCCATAAAGAGCTGCGTGGCTGCACCCTTGGTTCTGGGGCTGATTTTCCATATAAATAAATCATTCCTGGAGCACTAGGAATTTTAGGCAAGGAATCCCTTTTCCCGTTTCCATCTTACAGTGTTTCCTGCTGTGGTAAGGCTGAAGGAAAGAGAAGCTGGTAGTGGGGCAGGTGCCAGGAAAGCGGGCTGTGCTACCAGCGTCCCGGGGTTTGTAGCTAGACACCATCTCTGGGTGTAGGAGAACCAGGTGCACACCATGAAGCAATTTCCATGGCTCGCTCCTATTTTTTGGGACCCTGCAGCAATGGTGGGGTCCTAGGCCTGGGCCAGACACCTGCCTCTCTCTAGCCAGGGTAACCTGGGGATTTCCTGACATACACTTTAACTTGCTGCTTGGTGAAGAGGATTTTCTGACCCAGGATCCAAATACCACAGGCGGGGCCTAAGACTCAGAATAACCCACTGTAGTCAGGCAACCTGTCCCAAAGCTGCGGGTAAACCCCAAGCTTAGATAAACCAGGCCCCAAATGCAGAGTCTGTGTTCTTTATGTAAAGAAGCTCATGTGAGATGCACAGATCCCACCAGGGCTGGGTTCCCCGCATGAGCGTAGAAGAGCTCAGATCCTCCCAGAGACGACCCTGTTGTCTCCAATTACAGTTACATTTCAACAGTTCAAAGCTTGTCCGGAAAATGGTTTATTCCTGCGGGAAGCGATGCAGATGGGGGCAGATGCTGAGTCTGTCCCTTTAGAAGGTGCTGGAGCTGCGCGGCGCCTCTTCCGAAACACCTGAGCATAAGCAGCCGCGAAGGCTAGCGCAGGACGCGGGGTGTGGGCGCCCGGCTGGGAAGAGCCCGGACCAAACCCGCGGGTGGCTCTGACTCTCGCCTTCGGGAGGAGCTCTGCGCAGAGGCCGTGGCTCGCTTGGGCAAGTCACCTGTGGCGGCCTGGCAGGGCAGTTCTCTCCGGCAGCTTGCTCTTGGCTCAAATAACGATATGCTCTGGGTTTCTCTCTGCCTTGGCCTGGCAGAGCCACTTTCCGCTTTCTGGCCTCTTGTGCGCCCCAGGCGGGAGAGGAGCCCCGGCCGCGTGGACCCCAGCTTGTGCAGCAATCATCGCACATTGACTCTAGGCCCTGCTGCCCAGGGAAGGGACAGCCCGGGGCGCACCCAGCGAGCTTCAGGGGGTACGGAAGTGCTTAGGGCAGATTTCAGGGTGAACAACTAATATTTTACTTACTAATTCGTTAAAAACGCAAAGAAAACAAAACCAATCACGGTGGCAAGGCCAAGAAGAGTTGGAAAGCAAGGAGCTGATTTCAATTTCTATAAATCGACGACCCTCCAGGCACAGTCCCTTACGAAGTGGGGGCGGCTTTGCGGATTTTCACTTCCCTTGGAAATGTCCAAGCCCCGGCAGGAGAACGCTCCCAGTAAAGGGATGGAAGAGCGCAACTCCGGATAAGAACTCAGGAACTGACCTGGGCTTGTCACTCACCTGTGTAACTTAACTGGAATACGTAATGGGGCCTCCTCTTTATTAATCCAGAAAGGTAGGCATTTTGGTCTGTGAACCCAAAAGATGTCTACGGACACTAAAATTGGAAGGAAGGAAAGGGAAAAGGGCAACATAAATTCTATGCATAATCTTTACCCATTTTAAATATGACACATTTCTAGAGATTAGCCACAGGATATCAGTTCTGACTCAAAAACAGAGAGTTCTTCTTCTTCTTCTTCTTCTTCTTCTTCTTCTTCTTCTTCTTCTTCTTCTTCTTCTTCTTCTTCTTCTTCTTCGTCCTCTTCCTCTTCCTCTTCCTCTTCCTCTTCCTCTTCCTCTTCTTCTTTTGAGACGGAATCTCACCCTGTTGCCCAGGCTGGAGTGCAATGGTGAGATCTCAGCTCACTGCCAACTCCGCCTCCTGGCTACAAGTGATTCTCCTGCCTCAGCCTCCCAAGTAGCTGGAATTACAGGCGTGCACCTCCACTCCCAGCTAATTTTTGTATTTTTAGTAGAGACGGGGTTTCACCGTGTTGGCCAGGCTGGTCTCAAACTCCTGACCTCGTGATCCACCCACCTCAGCCTCCCAAAGTGCTGGGATTACAGGCGTGAGCCACGGTGCCCGGCCCAAGAGGAGTTCTTCTAAGGAAGTATTTACTGTGAGACAAAAGTAGATGGATACCATCTTTGTCAACTGGAGAAAAATCTGGGATGGAATTTATGGAAAATTCATGCAATAAATGAATAAACCACAGTTGTGGGGTGCCTGTGAAAGACATAGGGCATGGAGCGTGGTCAGAACTGCAGCAATAGCAGAACCTGATTGTTCTGGTACTATTTGGTGTCGGGGGTGGGATTGGGAAAATGGGAATCTCTAACTCGTGCTAGTTGGTTTTGCAGTGGGGTGCAATGTTTCCAGGTGGCACCAGCAGCTGTAGTAATAATAAACATCTATGCAGATCACTATGGGTTGCAAAGAACGCACATACTGCAGCTCATTTACTTTAAGGGACTTGAACAGCTAGCTGTGCAACTTGGGGAAAATCATCTAACCTCTCTGGGCCTTGGGTTCACCTTTGTAAAATGGAAAGGTTAAACAGACTTTAAGACCCCTGGCTTCCCTCCAGGGAATGCAGCCAGCCAATGGGCCCAGTAACTCAAGAAGAGCAGAGCCTTATTTCAGCTCCTTCCCTTAGCCACATGAAACTTACCCTGCAGGACTTCCTAGGAACGTATTTTCATGTGGCAAACAAAGGTCATTCCAGGCACGAGACAATGGTGAGTGAACAAATGTTCATTGAAAGCTCTCCACTCCAAGGCCACGTGGTAACCGTTGGCTGGTGCTGCCTGGGAAGCCTGGGCTCCTAGCATCAAGAAGTTTCCTTTGGGTTGGAAGTCCTGGTTCCCAGTAGGGACACCAATCTTTGAGACCTCCAAGTCCCTCCCTCTTGTGGATTTAAATCATCCTCTGTCCTCACCCACCACACAGAATGTGTTATTCAATGCCCAAACAGTGTCCACAGACCCTAGTTTCAGAAGAAAGGAAGAAAATGGGCAACGACTATTTATTTGCCTAACTTTTACCCAATGTACCAAACCAGATTTCTGTACCCAAATATTACCCTTTCTCTTGAGGCTCTTAATTTTCCTTGATCTCTTGGATGTGAGAATATATTTTGGATAGAGAAGCATAAATTTAAAAAAAAGAAAAAAAAAAAAAGGTGTTCCTTGCCTTGGATCAGAAACTTGGCGGTCTGTTCACAACAAACATAAAACAGCTGGCTTTTCTCATCGCATTCTCCTGCAGCCTAGTCCCTGAGTGGTAACATGTTAGCCCACAGGACCTCCCATTAATTCAGAAACCTTTCCTCAGGTAGAGAGGGTCAGACACCCAGTTTGCTTGGGAAGAAAACATGCTTCACTCCACTGGGCAAGGACACATCTGCTGCTGTGAATGAAGCCTGGGTGGCTGTGGGCATCTGTGGTCCCTCCCTGCTGTTCAGGGTGGACATGTTGGGATCCATTGTGGCCTGATAGGGCTGGACAGGTGGCGGACTCTGGGGAGGCCCTACAGAAAGGACAGTGTCATTGATTTCCTTCCCAGAGATGTTAGCTGAGTGGGCCGTGGCAGGGCAAGACAGGGTTGTTGGGGTCAAACGAACCATTACTGAGCCTTTCTTTGTGTGAGTAGATGGCTGATTGAGTGCAATGGCTGAAAGACTCCCTAAACTCTGAATTGAGTAGAGATTGAGCTGTTTTTCCACAGTCGTATAGATGGCCAAGCTGAATAATTTTGTCAGCTGACATTCTCTTCCTTTTCACTCCTTAATTATCCCTGGAATTCAGGTCAATGCAAGGTAAGAGTTTCCTGTGCAAAGTATAGAAGACTACATTATTTGGATAATTTTATTGTCCTTTTTTCAAATTAAAAAAAAAATTTTAGAGACAGGGTCTCCCTCTGTCACCCAGGCTACATTGCAGTGGCACAACCATAACTCACTGTAACCTCGAACTCCTGGGCTCAAGCCATCCTCCAACCTCAGCCTCCCAAGAAGCTGAGGCTACAGGTGCACATCACCATACCCAGATAATTTTTAAATTTTTTTGTAGAGATAAGGTCTCACTTTCCTGGGCTCAAGTGATCCTCCTGCCTCAGCCTCCTAAAGTGCTGGGATTACAGGTGTGAGCCCCTGTGCCTGGCTGGACAATTTTCTTGATCTAAAAAAGATTCACAAAATCAACTTACATGCTAAGGTGGGTAGAGATGGCCTGCCGTAACTGGGCTTTGTTAGTCACTGGGCTCCCCAGTTTCCAGGAGCCACAATTATCAGGCAGAGCAGGGTCCCCTTAGTCAGAGCAAATACTAGGACCTTTGAGCAGGGAGGGAGCTGTGTCAATGCTGTCTGGATTTAAGGAGTGTTTCATCCACCTGGAGGGGCAGCCCGCCCTTCCAGCAGCCTCCTGCGTCCCACCCCCTTTGTGGCCCCTGCCCTTGCCACCAGCCAGGATCCTGCGTGCCTGGTCCCTTTCTGAAGAATGTGGAATGGCCTCTACACTGTCAGTAACAGAGGCGTCCTTTTGATAACCTGATCGTGGCCACTCCTGCAGTTTTACTGTTGCTTCATTTACCAGGGTCTCTTTTTTCCCCCACCCTTTTCTGCCTTAGATATCAGCTCTAGCTCTGGCTTTGTGGAGTTGCAGTTTCAGCCCCAGGCCAACCGCAGGCCCGAGCTTCCCAAACAAGTTTGCCTCTCCCAGAGTGAGTTGCTGCAGGCTTCTCTGGCCCAGCAGCAGGACTTACAGGGTGGAAGGGCACCTCTGGCATCAGGGGGTAAAGAATGACCACCCCCCTTCCCTTCCCGCGGGCTGCTCAGTGCAGGCCAAAAGGCTCCTAAGAAAGCTGCCAAGCACCTGGGGCCTAGGACTAAGAAAGCCCTGCATGGAGCCCTGATGTGGGTGGCTTCTGCTTCCTCCTAGGGACACAGGCCTGCGCTTAGAAGCTGGAGAGGCTGGAGAGGCTGCCCCTGAGCAGAGCCAGTCATGGGGCACCAGACTGCTAGGGGCCAGGACTCTCTAACAGCAAAGATGACCAGGCTCCTAGAGTTTTGTCAGCCACCTTCTACCCCTCTCTGACTGTTCCCACAACCCTGCCTTTTCAGGGACCCAGCTGGGCCCTCTCCTGGCTGAGAGCAACCTGGATGTACAGGGATGCGTACGTTCTGAGAAGCTTATCCAAGGACATCATTTACCAGCTCCTTTCCCCTCACCGAACAGTCTGGACCCTGGGACCACAGCTGTGCCATGCCATTGCTAAGGAGACCCATTTTTGCAGTGAGGGAAATGTTCGTTTTCACAATGATTTCCTTTCCATGGCTGGAGCACTCCAAGCGAGCCTCAGGCTTCCCTGTGGCTTGGCCTGCTCTGGGGCCTGGCTTGACCTGAGGGACCACAGCAGCCCTGCCCGCTCCCAAAGCAGTTGGATGAGCAGGCCAGAGCCATTTCTTCAGGGCACAGCACAGAGACACAGCTGGAAAATGGGGACAATTAGCCAGAGGCCGGCAGCCTGGGCCATAAAAACGCAGGAAGCGGCCACCGCAGGGAGGAGGGAATCGCTGTCCCTAATAAAGTGATTGTTCCAAAGAATGCCCGCATTCCGAAGACACAGGCTGGAGCCTCAGCCTCGGCTTCCAGAGCTCAGGCCTGGGAAGGGGGGAATGTGGGGGATGGAAAGGGGAATTGTGTCTCCAGGAAGAGGAGGAAGATGTTTGCTAGATCAAAAGTTCGAAGCGCCCACCACTTAACCTCCCACATTCCCGCCCCATCAGGTCTGTGGACCTCCCCTACTGCCCTTCTCTCAATGATTTGGGTTTTGTAACGGGGTTTGCAATTTACATCCGGTTTTATTTCTCTGGAAGTCCGATGACACTCGGCTGTCCAGGCCAGGCCCTGGAAGTCCCCCAGGAGGACCGGCTCGGTCTCCCACCTCTTGAGTGCACAGCTCCTTGGCCCCTGAGTACCCCACCACCCTCATTTTTAGCCTTCTTCCTTACAAACACAGAGGGTGGGAGGAACCAAAAACAGGGGATCCCGCAGCCCTAGGTTAGTTCTGATCGTTTTCAGGTGTGTCTGCAGAGGCAACTTGCTGGTTGTCACCTGTAAAATGGGGAGGATAAAAACACCTCCTAGGTTTTGTTCTAAATCCTAGGGGGATGTGAGGCTCAAGGGAGATAAACGACACCGGAGAGCACCCCAGAAATGACAGGATGAAGGCGATGGTGACAAATATCCGAGCGAAACGCTTGACAATAACAGACAAGTGCAGGTCTCCAGGAGTGCCGCGAGCGCCCGCGGGTTCTGAGAGCGCTCAAAGCCACCGAGTCAGGCTGCCCAGCCCGCCGGGCCTCGCCGCAGTGATCCTCATTCCCGAATCTGGCCGCGCTGTCAAAGGCTGGTATAGGAGGTGAACGGCGGCCGCAGGCCCACTCCACGCTGTTGTTGAAACCCAGTTGGGCGCGCGCGAGAGCCGAATCTCGCCGCCTCCGCGCTCCTGTCGGGGTAGCTCCCGATTCCCTGCTGCGCGGCTCCGGTCCCCAAGGCGGTCGCTCCCAGCCCTAGGTCCCTTGGCCGCAGCGCTTCCCAAACCGAGAGAGATCCTTTCTCAACTCAGAGCTTTTCATTAACAATCGTTAATAACGGCCCTGAGTTGCCTTGTGATCTCCTGGAGATGAAAAATAAATTTCTTAGGAGAATGTTTCACTTTGTAAAGGACAAAGAGTTTTAAAGATATAGGTATGATGTAAGACACATAAATACCTAGGTAAGTATTAGCAGAAATTCTCTTTTCCTTCATTGTTAACCACTTATGCAAGTATAAGAAAAATACAAGTGTAGCTCAATGAATTTTCACAAACTGACACTCCATGTAACCAGCAGCCTAAGAAACAGCGTTACCAGCGATCCCCTAGTTCGCCTCCTTATGCACGCCAATAACCACTAGCCTAACTTCTACCACATGCCCATTACTTTCGTAGTTTAAAACTTTTGATTTTTGAATGTAAACGTTTATCAATAAATCGCTTTAACTCAAATCTCAAACGTAAGATGAAGTCAGAGATGCAGCCTGAATCTCGGATCATAATTTATCTTGTACAGAGGGCGAGTAATTTCCTTGGTCAAGAAAATAACTGATTGGAGGTGACAGTTGTTTAGGGCTGCAGTTGTCCGGGCCAGGAGCACAGGGCGGGAAGGAATGGCCCATCTCTTAGGGCTCTCTGCTTGTCACCTACCAGGTTGGTCAGAAACGTTCTCATCAAAGCAATGGTTTCTCTTTTCTTTTCTCTTTGGGACAGAAGGAGTTTCTTGACCGCCCCCTTCCCTGCAAATGCATAAACAACTACTGCTCCTGTCTCCAAGCTCAGATTCCCACCAAGATAGCCTTTTCTCTTCCCCTGTCTTTTGTAAGTCTCTTGATTTCATTCTTTGAACCTGTGATTGGAGGTTAAAGTGCACCAGGTTGGAAGGAGGAAGCTCTTAACAATAAAGGTTTGAATATTTAGCTGTGATCAGGTCGCTGCCCTCTCACGAACCTCCCCCCCCTTATCTTTTAAAATGCAAATTATGTTTCAGGGGGTTGTGCGTTGAGTGCGCGCTGCGCCTCGACGTCTCCAACCATTGGTGTCTGTGTCATTACTAATAGAGTCTTGTAAACACTCGTTAATCACGGAAGGCCGCCGGCCTGGGGCTCCGCACGCCAGCCTGTGGCGGGTCTTCCCCGCCTCTGCAGCCTAGTGGGAAGGAGGTGGGAGGAAAGAAGGAAGAAAGAGAGGGAGGGAGGAGGCAGGCCAGAGGGAGGGACCGCCTCGGAGGCAGAAGCGCCGCGAGGAGCCAGCAGAGCACCGCAGGCTGGGGCGCAGCCACCCGCCGCTCCTCGAGCCCCCTCGCCCCTTTCCCTTCGTGCCCCCCGGCAGCCTCCAGCGTCCGTCCCCAGGCAGCATGGTGAGGTCTGCTCCCGGGCCCTCGCCACCATGTACGTGAGCTACCTCCTGGACAAGGACGTGAGCATGTACCCTAGCTCCGTACGCCACTCTGGCGGCCTCAACCTGGCGCCGCAGAACTTCGTCAGCCCCCCGCAATACCCGGACTACGGCGGTTACCACGTGGCGGCCGCGGCTGCAGCGGCAGCGAACTTGGACAGCGCGCAGTCCCCAGGGCCGTCTTGGCCGGCAGCGTACGGCGCCCCACTCCGGGAGGACTGGAATGGCTACGCGCCCGGAGGCGCCGCGGCCGCCGCCAACGCCGTGGCTCACGGCCTCAACGGGGGCTCCCCGGCCGCCACCATGGGCTACAGCAGCCCCGCTGACTACCACCCGCACCACCACGCGCATCACCACCCGCACCACCCGGCCGCCGCGCCTTCCTGCGCTTCTGGGTTGCTGCAAACGCTCAACCCCGGCCCTCCTGGGCCCGCCGCCACCGCTGCTGCGGAGCAGCTGTCCCCCGGCGGCCAGCGGCGGAACCTGTGCGAGTGGATGCGGAAGCCGACGCAGCAGTCCCTCGGCAGCCAAGGTAAGCCGAGGCTGCGCCCTGCCCGACCCTGCTTGGGAAGGCGCGGGCCGAGCCACTGGCTGCTGCGCGTCCGCCCGTCCGTTACGCACAGGGGCGTCCCGGGCTGTCTGGGAGCTCCGCGCCAGGAGGGACACGGTCCGGGAACAAATTCGGGGGCCTCTGGACCCTCGGGGCTTCTCTGACCTACAGAGCCTGGGAATGAATATTATGAGTCTCACAACACCGTGTTTAGGCGTCCTCTTTTCAATAGCTCCTCATTCGCAACCCCGGGACATCTTCGGGAAGCTCTAGGGAATGTCGGCGTGAGCACTGCTGGACGCGGGCAGAATCGCGTCCTCCCCCACTTGCTGCCGCCTGCATTGCTTGCGTGGCTCCTGGCCGCGGAGGAGAGAGGGAGGCTCGAACCTTCTTGGGCTAGATCTAGGCCATTTCTTTCCGCTCTCTCTTTCCCCATCTGAGCCATCTAATAAGAGAATTGACCTGGAGGGGGGTGGGGGGGTGTCGGGGGACGGCTAGGCTGTGCGTGGGACAGTGTTTGGCCATTCAGGCCAATTCAAGGTACAGCGAGCAGACAGACCAGGTAGAGCTGCTGTCGCTGGGAAGAAGGTGCTGGCCCGAGCTGCTAAGGCGACGGGGGCGCGCCCCGTCTCTGAACCTCTGACCTGTGAAGGTGTCATTTCAAGCAAAAGCTGGAGGGGTAGGGGCAAGAAACTGAGGGGCAGTCGTCTGCGGAGAGAGCAGGGAGACGGGGAGGAAACCCTGGTGGAAATTGAGCCGCTGCTCCAGGTAGGGGTCATTTTCCCACAGCTTCCTTTAAAGGGTGTCAGGGATGTCTGTGAGTGTGTGTGTGCATGTGAAAAAGATCCTAGGTTTGCCGGACTGTGGGGCTCATTGACTCCGGGTCTGCCCCTTCTGGTGTTCGAGTGTGCCTAGAGGTGGCAAGGAAGTGCGGTGGGGAGAGTCCTAGTTGAGTGCCCCCTTTATTTCATCAAGTCTTTCCACAGCCCTCAGCGCTTCCGCTTTTCTTGTTTCGCTCCTTGCTGCCCCAACTGGGCAGACACGCTGGTTATGGGCACTTGGCAGAAGTTTATAGCCAATTATAGCTAGTATAAATCAAAGCGCCCTTTAGGGGCTGCTTCTGGGCATCGGTTTCTGCGTCACTGTGCACATGCTAGGGAGAGTCCTGGTGGGAATGCGGCCGTCCGGGGAGACGGCCACAGATCAGCCTCGGGTGGGCCGCAGAGCTTTGGTTTGGTCCCTTCTCCAAGAGGAGGCGCCTTCCTCCTGGCAGGGGCCCCCAGATCCTGGCTCCCAAAGACCCACTTTCTACAGCGCATGTCTGGGGAGCGGTGGCGGAGGTCGCGCACGCCCTAAGGAAGACTTTTGCGTGTCCCGGGAGAGTGGCCGCGGGGTGCGGGCCGGGAAGGGGGCGGGAGGGAAGCCGCCAGAGCCCAGGCCGCGAGGTCAGCAGATGTGAAGTCCTGCGCCGAGGTGGCAAGGCCGCAGTCGGCGCCGGGTGCCCTTGTGATGTTAATGTGGGGTGGCCGCAGCCCGCTGGCCGGAGCCAGGCTCCTCTGCGGAGCGTCATCTGTCAAGGGGTGGATGGGGGGGACGCGGCCCGGCCTGCTTTGATATACACCTTCCCGGCCCTGCCATTGTCTCTTTTAGGGCCCGGAAAGAGGGTGGTGACTTTCGCAGTCAATAATGAATTCTGACAAGTCCCTCTCATCCCACCCCTCCACAGCCCCGCTCCTAGGTTCCCAGGGGGTGTGGGGCGCGGGCCGAAGAGCGTACAGGGTCTGGTCATCGCGTTGCCCGGCCCGTCTGGGACACTGAAGGGGCAGCACCCGAGCAAGGGTCGCTCCGAGGTACTTCCAGGCGAGTCTCCCTCCTGGGGTGTTCGGCTGAGGGAACTGCCCTGAGCCCCAGCTCCGGGGGTGTCCTCTGTGGCTCCAGTCAGGCTCCGGTGCCAACCCCGCCTGATGCTATCTGCGTGACCTGGTCTGATTCTCCATTTCCTCATCTGTAAAAAGGTGCGAGTACCAATGGCCTGGAGTGGGTTTGAGGCGGTCACGCGTGTCCAAGCGTCCACCGCGGAGAAAGTCGCGTTAGTTCCCCTTACTTTCATAGCAGGCGCGGGGTCGGGCCATTCAAATGCGCCTGCAGGGCCGTGTTTATGTTAATACGCCTGGCGGGGAGGGGGATGAAAGCCGGGCCGCCATTTGCTCAGTAGTGGTAATTCAAACAGAATGTGGTTGTTATTAAGGCATTGAAAGGGCTTTTCTTTGATAAGATCGCCTTGTCCTGCATTGTTTGCGGCTGTGTTCCCCTTTCAGCGGCTCGGGGGAGCTCCCTCTGATCAGGCCTGTATCTTCCCAGGACGCTTTTGTTGTGGTTTGCAAAGGGTTTTACCTGAACAAAGTCAGCCTGCGGGACATTAAACACCTCCAGGCAACTCCCAGGCCCTTCAGATCTTTCTGTGGGACTGGGCACTGGGAGATTGAACCTGTTCAGCTGCAAGAAGACCCAAAAGTGGGACGGAGCCAGAGAGAACAGCTTCTGACCAGGGCTCTGCCAAGGGCTGAGCCAAGACAGACCTGGTGGAGACGCCAGGCTCGGGCCTGCTCCAACATTGTGGACACTATTTGTCAAGGCCCTTCAGTAAAACAATCAATCTAGGATTTAATATGTTGACTCAATCCAATGAGCATAGATCACTGGTCAGGATAACTCTGGCCAGGTTTGCAGCAGGAATAAATGGAGGGTCAAAAAAGAAAAAGTACCAAACGCCAAACCTGGATCGGGCAGGTATAAAGTGTCCCTAGCCGGAGGGGTTTGCTGCCTGTTCCCTCTGCCAGAGCCCAGCTCAGAATTCCACCAGATGGGCCTGGTGTGTCTGGGGGATGATTCCGGCGACTTGTCAGCTCCTGTACCCTGCTTTCCACTTGTAGTAAAGCAAAGTAGTAACCCCCACACCTCCTCTACAACATGTGCTCACAATGACAGCTGTTTTCCG